AGCCGGGGAAACGTCGCAGGCCGACCGGGCCGACTGGTTGAGAAAAAGAAACGGCGCGACCGAGAGTTCAGCTAGTCTTGAAACTCACTTGTGCTTGTGCGTGTGTGTGTTTGTCCCCTCTATAAACAAAAGTGTGTGTCCCCTCTGAAAACAAAAAGTGTGTGTCCCCTCAATGCACGAAAACCGGAAAGGCCTCTGTAGACAGTGTTTTTGGGGAATGCTGCTTTTACTAAACGGTTCGCTCGATCTGTGTACAGTTTTTATATAAATATATCAAAATATATACTATTTAGATCTAGTGTTTAAGAAGATATGCTCAAGCTGCAGGCTTGAGTCAACATGCAATGAGAAAAATTGATGCGATAAAGCTTATGGGTGGCTCAAGGCTTGTAGACAACAATACCATTTCCAATGTAAAGCACTTGGCGCTGCTGCTTTTCTTGTCATGGTCGTGCGTCTACAGTTTTCCATGGTCTAAATAGATAAAGCACAACAAGTGCAAATCCTTGGTGGCAACTTTCAAGTCATAATGTATCACAGTGGCGAGTGCCAGTTATTCTTGCCACTAGGCCTTCCCAGGTCCTTCCAACGTCTTACGTAGATAGACCGCGGGTCATCACATGATTCCGCGGATTGTTATCACTGGGCCCCAGCCCAAAAACTTATAAGCGCAACTTCTGACAGAAGTAAAGTCTTGTTAGATTTCCTGAACCGCGGTTGGCCGAATGAATTTCACATTCCCCTAACCACGTGCCTATATGAATTTCGGGTTTCACAACTGTGAACTACATGCTTCCCAACCACCTGCCCGGGACCTGAGCCGTTGTCATTTCCGGACCACCTGTCCAGATATGTTTCCCGACCTGTTGCCCATATGAGTTTCAAAGTTCAAGAACCCCGGCCCCTTTCTGATTTTTTTGACCACCTGCACCAATCTTCATGCTTCTGGGCCGCCTGCCCCGTTATGAAGTACGCTTCATGCTTCCCGGCAACTTGCTCGCCATAAACTTCATGCTTCGCAAACGCCTGTCCCGACCACCTGTCATGCCCTCATGATCCTCACGTTACTTAGTCGACTTTCAACGAAGGTCATGATCCCACCCCAACCGGCTAGTTTTTCATATTGAATTGCCCGACCACCTTGCCACTAAGAATTCTCATATTTTCCGACCACTTGGCCCGTTATATGAAAGTCTTCATTCACCTGCCCCGATGTGACAACTTCATGTTTCGCCATAACCTGCGACAAGTCACGTTGTGAATTTAATGCCTTCCAAGCAATCTGCTTCATTGCGCATACCACCTCCTGTGCTTGGTTAACCACCTATACCTTCATGCTCCCAGCCCGGCTATGAATTTCACGCTTCCCATATTATTGGCCCGTGGCAAGTTTTGTGATTCCCGACGTTGAACGACTTGATCTATGATTTGCTCATGTTTCTGAAGCCCCGGCGCCGTCATGAGCTTCACACCGAACATTCTGCCACATTAGGGAAACCGCCTGGAACGCCATGATCTTCAAGTTTCCCAAGCATCTCTGGCCTCTAGGTGTCCGGACCACCTGTCCCGTTATCTGTTGCATGTTTCCTGACCACCTGCCCCGTTATTCGCGCTTCCTGACCATGCGCCTGTATCGTTATGAGCGGCATGCTTCCGGACCACCTGCCGTCACCTGCCCGGCCCTTTATAGTTGTGATGTCTCCCGAGCGCGCGCCCAGTTAAAAACAAATTCTCTTTTGGTATATTCGCCCTGCATCGTGGTGAGCTTCATCTTTCGCCACCGCCCGTTCCAATTGAAGACCGCCTGCTCTCTGGACACTTTCAGTTTCATGCCTCCCAACCATGCAGTGTCTCATTACAAGTATAAGATTTTCACGTTTCGCGACCACCTGCGTTGTCATGTTCCCCGACCGTCTTCGTCGCCGCAACCATGCAGGTGCCCGGCTATGCCTGTCACTTTTCCCAACCGCCTGCCCCGTTATGAATTTCACGTTTCCCGGCCCGATATATACATCACGTTTTCCCACCGTCCCGTTAGTTTTCCATTTCCGGAGCGCTTTACATGTCTTTTGGCATGTCCTCGGCTGCCCCGTAATGAATTTCACGAAATTTCACGGAAAACAGCCGTATAGTCGAACTATGTGAGAAATTTCACGGAATTTCACGGAATTTCACGTTGTAAATGCTCATTTTTTCGCGTGATTTTCTGCACCGGGGGCCAGTTTCGTAGACAACAGCAAACAACATGTTCCTGTTGTGTTTCCCAAACAATTGCCCCGGTATGAATTTCATGCTTTGCGGCCACGTGGCCCGTTATGAATTTCATGTTTTCTGACCGCTTGGCCCGTTATGAATTTCACGTTTCCCGACCACCTGGCCCGTTATGAATTTCACGTTGCCCGACCACCTGGCCCGTTATGAATTTCATGTTTCCCTACCACCTCCCCCGTTATTCACGTTTCCCGACGACCTGGCCCGTTATGAATTTCATGTTTCCCTACCACCTCCCCCGTTGTGAATTTCACGTTTCCCGACCACCTGGCCCGTTATGATTTTCATGTTTCCCGACCACCTGGCCCTTATGAATTTCATGTTTCCCGACCACCTGGCCCGTTATGAATTTCACGTTTCCCGACCACCTGGCCCGTTATGAATTTCATGTTTCCCGACCACCTCCCCCGTTATGAATTTCACGTTTCCCGACCACCTGGCCCGTTATGAATTTCATGTTTCCCAGCCACCTGGCCCGTTATGAATTTCATGTTTCCCGACAACCTCCCCCGTTATGAATTTCACGTTTCCCAACCACCTGGCCCGTTATGAGTTTCACGTTTCCCGACCACCTGGCCCGCTATGAATTTCACGTTTCCC